GGTCCTGCAGTTGAGCCAAGACCCAAGAGCTCCTGCACAAAGCTCCTGCAGTAGCAGTGGCCAGGACACACCTTCACAGACCTCCTTCAGCTGCACCAGTACCTCCTGCTTTTCCCTTCAGCTGCTGCTCTGCCAGGGACCTCTCCTGTCCCTCCTGCCCACCCCATGCCTGCAGGCAGCACGCGGGCTGGGGTGGTGGCCAGCTGGGCGGGCAGTGCCCAAATACTCCCAAATGAACTGCCTTTGTCTGGGACAGCTACAGCACCTCTGAGAAGGTGCTCAGCACCCTCAGGGGAGGAGCTTCGTGTCTTCTCTGGCTGCGTGGTCCCTGCTCTGAGCCTGTATTTGAGCGGGGATGTGCTGCCTGGGGCTCTGCCTGCAAGATGGTGTTTGAGAGTCAGCATCTGAGGGCGTGCAGCTGCAGCAGGTTTTATTCCTTGTTCCCCGCTACTGGCTTCTTTTCCATATACACACACCAGTGTTGTGACTTTAGCTGTTAATTTCTATTTTAGGTTGTGATAATGCAATCATCATCTGGAACGTGGGAACAGGTGAAGCCCTCATAAACTTGGATGACATGCACGTGGATATGATTTACAATGTGAGCTGGAATCGCAATGGCAGCCTGATCTGTACTTCTTCCAAAGACAAAAAAGTTCGAGTTATTGACCCCAGGAAACAAGAAATCGTTGCTGTAAGTTTGCACGGTAGTTAAAGAAGCAACTGGGTTTCACTCCCGCAGAGAGTTAGCAAGAGCATCTAGAGAAGGAACCTTTTTGCTTAGTCTGCACCACGTTTGGTCGTGTTTAGTCGTGTTTTTCAAAGTGAGGAAAAAAATTACAGGAGGGATAGCAGTGGCTGAAGGATTTGTCTGGGTTTATTGGGATTAGTGTTTGAACTAGGATTTTAGGGCTCAGTTTTAAAACCTGCAGGAGTGTAATTCGACATCTAATCCTTTTGTATAATTACAGTTCCAAAGTTGTGTATGCAAAGGGGAGATTTAGCAGCCTGCGTGTGTGTCGTAGCTTGCAAAGAAGTCTTCCTTCAACCTTGCAAGAGTCTGATAGGCAAAGGATTGACCACTTCTTTTGCAGTTTAGTAATTAGTTTCTTCCCTCAAGCATCAGGCAAAGATAGTTGGATGTGGCTCCGTGTAGTCGGCATCTGGTGTGGAGGAGTGGTGCGTCCTGCCGGGGATTCTGTGCAGCTAGAGAAGCCACCACCAGGTGGGCTTCCTGTTCCTTCCTAGAGCCTAATCTGCAAATCTCTTCCAGGAGAAAGAGAAAACCCACGAGGGAGCTCGGCCTATGCGAGCCATTTTCCTCGCTGACGGAAACATCTTCACGACTGGCTTCAGCCGCATGAGCGAACGGCAGCTTGCCCTTTGGAATCCAGTAGGTTCCTGTCCCGTCACTACTTGGCTGTTGCAACATCCCTTGAGTTCGTAGCCCAGACCTGCAGTCACCCACTAAATTCACGGTTGGGGGCTGGCGTTTGGGGTGCCCGAGGAGATGGGCCCAGAGAGCAGAGTGGCTGGGTAGAGGTCGCTTCGTTCGATGCGTTACATGTGCGGAGCGAGACGGCAACAATCCCATCACACCGGCACAAGACGCTCCCTAACGTGACTATGTCATGTCTTTCCCTTACCTTTGTGCATTTTCTTGGGTCCTGCTTTTATTGCATTTTGTGATTAAAACGTCCTCGGGGAATGAATAGGCTTGTGAACGTTTTCAGCATTTGTTGTTGTAGCACACAGGCCCTGCAGGGCGGTGGAGACACCGCTGCGTGTTCACTAGCTACAAAGAACTGTTAATAATTTAGATCCTCTGTTAACATGAGCTTTTCTGTTCTTCATTAACATCACTGGCATTTTTTTATTTCCAGAAAAACATGGAGGAGCCAATAGCCCTTCACGAGATGGACACCAGCAATGGGGTCCTGCTGCCGTTCTACGATCCAGATACCAACATCATTTACTTGTGTGGCAAGGTAAAGAGAAGCTTTTGGAATGACTGGGTGTGTTTAGGGGGAGGCTCCTCTTGAATGAACGATGCCTGTGAAATGTTCCCCAAGCGTCTCGATTGAGAAAGGTAGAGCCAAAAAGTGAGCACAGCAACGATGGCCAGGGCTGCAGGCACATCGGGCTGCTCTGAAATCGGTTTGATCCTCACTCTGCAGGACCATGCAGAGGCCCTGTGAAGGTCTGGTGTGTTCCTGGGTGTTTCTTTGAGATGGATTTACTTCGATAAAACAGCTGCTCGTAATGCAACAAGTCAGATGCTGTCATGAAAACATCTCTGGTTGGTGTTGACCCGAATAATCGTATGTTAGTGTGGGAGGAAAGTACACTTGAGATGTTATCCTCCTTGTGTGTGATGATGATGGAGCATGTAGCAAGGCTCACTGTAGTTTTGTGGGGTTAAATAATAGAAAACTGGAGTCACGGGCTCCTTCCTAAAAGCAATTCATAGGCATTAAGCGCTCTAAAGTGCTCACTTGTGATGCCGCAGCTTTGGACTTCCTGCACACAGGAGCCAAAGACAAGAGAAACAAGTAATTACGAAGGAGGATCCATACAAGTATGTTCAAGAATTCCATCTTTGTAAACAGCTAATGGGAACTACTTCTGCTGTTTCTGAGATGCCAGTGTAGTAGAATTGCTTGGAGTCAGAGAAACTGGTTCATGGCCTTTCTGCCTGACTGTGGCAGAAAGTTTCACTTTTTCACAAGAGGAGGTGGGGGTAGTTGGCACCTCCAGTCTTGAAGCAGTTGAGCTCAGGTCACTGTACCCCTGGAGAGCAGCGCTTATCGCTGAGAAACCGCTCAGCTGATGTCCTTGGGTTGCAGCAGGGATCTGCTTCACGGCAGTTCTGTCGATGCCGCAGAGATGGTGAGAACGCAGCAGTGTGAGCAGCCTGAGGTGAGGCTTGTTTGACCGGTAAGCAACGGAGGGTTTAGCTTGAAAAAAAATAGCTAGAAACTGTGCCTCGTTCTGTGGTGGCGTTCGTGGAAGGAGAGGCTCTCGGGTGAGACCATGGCTGCCCAGCAGGGAGCAGGCATGCTGGAACGGGGAGCCCTGGCCCCTCCAGCCTCTGGAATGATCTTCCCGTCGTTTCTTGCAGGGTGACAGCAGCATTCGCTACTTTGAGATCACGGATGAATCCCCCTATGTTCACTACCTCAACACCTTCAGCAGCAAAGAGCCGCAGAGGGGCATGGGGTTCATGCCAAAGAGGGGCCTCGATGTGAACAAGTGTGAGATCGCCAGGTGAGGAGGAGGGAGGCTGTCGGGCTGGGGGGGTTGTCGTCGCGAGCCACTCTGGCGCAGAAATGGGAAGTCCTGCTGCTGGGTGTAGGGTGCTGCTGTTGGAAAGAGCTCTCTGCCGCAGCGTGGCTTCTGCGGCACGTGTGGGGACCTGTGACGTGAAGCGACACTTGCGCTGGGCGTAACGCAACAGAGCCTCAAAATGTGCTGGGACTTAGGCTGAGTCTCTTGGAAATGAGTGAGCGATATCCAGCAGGATCAACTGGCTGCAGAAACCTTACCATCGGGTCAGTCACAACCTACGCCGTCAATGTAGAATCACAGAATGGTTTGGGTTGGAAGGGCCCTTGAAGATCCCCTGGTTCCCCCCCTGCTGCCATGGGCAGGGACACCTCCCACTGCTCCAAGCCCCATCCAACCTGGCCTTGAACACTTCCTTGAACACCACAACCACCCTCACAGTGAAGAATTTCTTCCTTATATCGAGTCTAAATCTACCCTCTTTCAGATTAAAGCCGTTACCCCTTGTCCTATCACTACCTGCCCTTGTAAAAAGTCCCTCTTCATCTTTCTTGTAGGCCCCCTTTAAGTACTGGAAGGCTGCTGTGAGGTCTCCCCAGAGCCTTCTGCAGGCAGAACAACCCCAACTCTCTCAGCCTGTCACCTCTCCTTTCACAGAGGAGGTGCTCCAGCCCCCTGATCATCTTTGTGGCCTCCTCTGGACTCGCTCCAACAGGTCCCTGTTCCTTCTGATGTTGGGGGCCCCGGAGCTGAAGGCATATCAGTGATAAACTTTTGGTGCCCAGGTCTGATGTTGGTCTCCAGCTTGCACACAGCAAGCGGGCTGGAAGCCGATTTCAGGACTTTAGAGAGTGACTAAAGCAGCAGTGCGGTGACCAGAGCGCAGCCGCGATTCAGGGAACACGGCAAAGGAAGAAAGCATCTCGGGAAGGCAGGTTTGGGCCACCGCAGTGGCTCCTGGCACACGGCTGGTAGGGAACGGGCTGGATGCTGCCCCTGAAGCCTTTGGAGGCTCCTTTGATTTATTAACGAAAGCAAAAGCCCCTCAAAGGGAGCAGAGGCTGCGCTTGCCTGAAGCACGTGGATATTTCGACAGCAGTGCCTGGCTGCAGACGTTGGAGTTGGTGACGCTGGCCCAAAGCAGGACTGCAAGGGGTGACCAGAGTGTGGAGACAGGGGCGAGCGGTGAGCTGGCTGGTGCGTACCTGTCAATCACTGGTGTGGTGCTTGCCTCGAGGGTCCGAGCAGGGGGCTGTGCCTCGCTGCCAGCCCCTCCTGGCCAAAGCGCCACCCTCTGAAGTCGCCCAGTGCTCAGGACGGGGGGAGCTCTGTGTGCACCCAGGTGGTTTTCTCCAGCCCTTGCAAGTCCTAGCACAGCCCAGCTGTAGCTCCTCGGGGCTGCTCGTTTTCCATCGCCTCTGTGAGCCGCAGAACCGAGGTCTCCTTTGCCCGGCGTTGGCTGTCCTCGCGTTTAAGTCACACCTTTTTCTTTCTCTTCGAAAGGTTCTTCAAGCTTCACGAGAGGAAATGTGAACCCATCATCATGACGGTTCCTCGAAAGGTGAGCCCTACCTCCTGGTTATGCGGTTTGAAGCCAGCTCGTGCCTTCCAGCCCCAAAGCGCTTGACCAATTCATCTCTTCTGGCTTGCAGTCGGACCTCTTCCAGGATGACCTGTACCCTGATACAGCTGGCCCAGAAGCAGCTCTGGAAGCGGAGGAGTGGTTTGAGGGGAAGAATGCCGATCCCCTGCTCATCTCCTTGAAGCATGGGTACATTCCAGGCAAGAACAGGGATCTCAAGGTGGTCAAGAAGAACATACTGGACAACAAGCCTGCCGCAAACAAGAAAAGCGATCTCATAAATGCTCCAAAGAAAGCAGCGGATGCCTCCAACCCTGTGAGTAAAATCCGCCAGCTTTTGGGGATGGTCGACTGAGACGCGATTACCGGGGTGCCGTGTCCTCAGAAGCAGTTGTAACGAAGCTCAAGCATGTGGGATTGGAGTACCCCGGGCCTGGGTGCCGGTGGGTGACCTGGAGTTGAGGTGGTACACGGGTTGTGGTGTTCCCGGCGAGGTTTCTGTAGCTGTGGAGGATTAGTGGGAAGGGTGACACAAAGGAAAGCTTGGCTTGCTGTTGCAGCCACCCCCCTGCCTGGGGGAGAGCTGCTGTGCACCTCCTTTTTGTGGAAAACCTGGCACAGACGGTGCGACAAATGAACCAAGCCCAGAAGGAGGTTGCACAAGTCCATGCCTGGGGGCTGTCGCTGACGTGTGGTGTAGTAGAGATGTGGAAGTGACAGCTGTCAGTCAAGTAGGTCCTTGAATGCTGTTAAAGAGCAGATAACTGGTCCAAATATGTCCTTGAAGCTGGCCCTGCTGCTTCTGGAAAGGCTGGTCCGTGCCCTGAGCATCCCAACTGCCCCAGAGCCCGTGCCAGGCAGGACATCTCGGGACACCCCGAGGACGCCGTGCGGAGGAGGAGCAGCCCCTTCCTCCGAACGCCCCCGCCCGCCCTCCTAACACACACGCGCGTCTCGTCTTGTCTTCCAGCAAAATGAAGCCAAATTGGATGAGATTTTGAAAGAGCTGAAATCTATAAAAGACACGATCACCAACCAGGACGAGCGCATTTCCAAGCTGGAGCAGCAGATGGCCAAGATTGCGGACTGAGCGGGGCGAGCAGCGCTGGCCCCGCCGCCAGCCCAGGCACATTCCAGTTCCCCAGTTCGGCCAGCAGCAGCCCGCAGCATTCCAGTACGAGCTTTCCTGTTCTCCTACATTCACGTCAACGAGAGCTGATGATTAAAAGCCAAGCTTTTTAGTGAAAGATTTTTTTTTTTCCTGATGTTTTAATGAATTTATGTGACTGTGTCAAACAAGTCAAAAAGAATAAGTGCTACTTTTACAGTCTTTTTTTTTTTTTTTTTTTTCCCGATTGTTACGAATTCTTGAAAACAAATCCATTCTGACTTTCAATGTTGTGCCCAAATATCTTTTTCTAGATTTAGGGACCAATGCCACATTGTTCTTAACCATTTTTTAAAGTTGCCAAAAAAAAAAAAAAAAAAAAAGAAAAGAAAAAGAAAAGAAAAAAAAAAAGTCGCTTTTTATTTTTCTTATTTGCCACTTTGCAGTATTTGTGTTTTAAATTTAAAGGGACAGCACTGCGTGTGTGTGCGTGGGGGTGTGTGCGCGCGGTGGGCGTTTATACTGTTCAGAGAACAAAACTGAAGCTATTTTGTATAAATCTTCCCTTTCGAACAATCAGAGCCGTTTCCTTTGCAGTGTGGCCGGGGCTGCTGCTGCCTCAGAGGTCGTACCCGCTGCCTTTCCTGCCTCCCCCACTGTCCCCATCACCATCGTCGGACAGTTGAAAGGGGGAAAAAAACCCAAACCCCTAGTTCTGAATGAGGTGATTCACGCCACAAAATTCTTCTCCTCCTTTTTACACCCCGGAGAACTTTTAAATGAGGATCATGTCGCCCTTTTCAAGCAGCCCCGTGCTTTGGATTCCTCTAGCCGTGCCCCACGGGGCATGCTTTACTGGCGGCATTATTTTTTCGTTTGTTATTTCGAGGCAGAAGTTCCTTCCATGCAGGAAAGTTTGTCCGTGGAGGGCAGAGTTTCAGGCGAGCCGGGGGGGTCGGCAGGCGCCCCGTGCTCTGCGGTGGTGCCCCTTTCGGCTGCTGTAAATACTCATTTCTGCGCTGGAGCCGCGCTGCCGCGCTTTCTGGCTCGTCGACTTTAAGAACCTTTTGAGATCCGTGAGCTTGTCAACTTTAAGAAGCTTTTGAGATCCGTGAGCTTGCCATCCTCTGGCCCCTCGCTTTGGGGCTGATGGTAGGAATTTAGACTCTGCTTCTGAAGCAGCAGCAGCAGGTGACTTTATCGTCACGGGCTCTGGAAACAAAAATGCCTCCGTTAGGGTTTTTTTTTTTAAATATATTTTTTTTTGTTCCTCTCTCTCGTTGCTGCCTGCCCCACCACGCCGTCAAGCTTTGCAGGAAATTCCTTGTTCCCGGGTCAGACGAGTGCCCTCCATCCCCAGCCCCCCTGCGCTCCCAGCCCTGTGGAGTGGAAGGGCGGTTTTCATCCCAGTTTGGAGAACTGGTTCCTCCTTCGAGATCCTCGAGGGAGAGACCTCGGGCTCACAAGGTCCTCGTGGCGTTTCTTGGATGCCTCAGCTCAGCAAACCTCCGCCCAGAGCGGGGTCTCCCCTGCGAGGGGGGCTGGCTGTGGGGCGGGCACGGGTCCCTGAGCAGGACCAGTGCCGTCCCGGCGAGCTGGACCAGGCTGGGTTGGTGCTGCCCGTCCCCGCCGGGCCGGGGAAACATCGGCAACCCCTGTCGAACCCAAAGGTGGGCAAAGGCTTCCCGGGTGGCCGAGAGCTATGGGCTGAGGAGCCCCGACACCTCTCCCAGCTGGGGCTCCATCCCTGAAGCAGCTCCTTGCAGCCCCAAGGTGCATCCCCCTGTCCGGGGCATCCCCGGC